TGGTGAGGAATAGAAGGATATCTATTCAGGCCCAAGAAGGTTCTACACCCATTAGCACTCTGATTCAGGTGACCCTGAGGGTACAGATAAATCCCCAAATGGCCTCAACAACTCTCAGAGAACAAATGACATACCTTCAGAGTGCTAATGGCCAGCGGACTAAAGAATATAAATCCTTCTGTTCCCCAGCAGTCATTCAGAACTGAAGAAACTTTTTGGATGAGAAGTTAATTGTTTTCAAGGAAAAAAAAACAAGAAAGTCCAGTTGCCTTTTGAAAAGCATCTTTGGAATATTTCTCCAAAGAATTTTGCAGACCCCTGGCATCTAACGACCTTAACAGAACGGAACAGAACAACAGATTTGGAAGAGACCTTGGAGGGTCTTCTAATCCAACCCCCTGCTCAGGCAGGAAGCCTTATACCATTTCAGACAAATGATTGTCCAATCTCTTCTTTAAAACTTCCAGTGTTGGAGCATTCACAGCTTCTGGAGGCAGGTTGTTCCACTTATTAATTGTTCTAACTGTCAAGAAATTTCTCCTTACTTCTAGGTTGCTTCTCTCCTTGATTAGTTTCCATCCACTGCTTCTTGTCTCAGGAAGCAAAAGTGACTATCGCTTGTTCTCAAATGGTAGAATTACATACCTTCAAACTCATCTTGTAAGCCAACATTTTAGATGAGCAATACAACCTAGAGTTGGTCTTATGAGCTAATAAGGTAAAAATATTTGCCTATAGGAAATACACAAAACACAAGATCTGCCAATTCAAAGGAAAATACCAGCTTATGTGCAATTTCCAAGAACCTGGAACAGAATCAGAAATAAGTTGACCCAGCTCTCTTAAACAAATGACATCTTCCAGAGCTAATTCTGGGTGGAAGAAGTATTTTTTATTGACTGTTGGCTCTTTCCTTTGTACTGACTCAGCTTCTCCCCGGATTCTGGGATTTGTACTTGGTATTCTAAAAATAGATCCTCCAAGTTCTTCATGTAGTTTACTTTCTCTGCTGTGAAATCAATGAGAATTCTACACTGTACTCTAAGCTGCTGGTCTCTCATGCTGCCATCAGCTGTTTCTTAAGCCAACTTCAGAAATTCCATTCCAGATTGATATACATTAACAACCTGGACAGGCTGTTGCTATGTCTGGATTACAGCGACCATAAAACCTGACTGGTCATCCCCCCTACCTCTTGTTTTCCTCACCCATACTGGAAAAGCAAGTCTCAGTGGGTGACTTTTTTGGGTGGACTGATCTAGCAGCACTTGACTGTATTTTAAAGGATTATTCATTCCCATCCTTCTCACATTACCTCCTTTGACACTGCCATGCCAACTTCTCTTTTTTCCTTCTTCCTTTTTCCTTCATAACTCTGATGAAAGCTATAAAAAACAGGTGGTCCTTTCATCCTTACCTTCCTTTGTAGGTCTTTGGTAACTTTGTATAGTGAAAGAATTGATAGTTTCTAGGAATATTCAAGAATATTCTTATCATACACCATAAAAAAAGTAAAGTCAATGGAAAGGAAGCTTTGCATAACTGTGGGAAGGGAGGAACATGCTTCATCCAGTCTGGTCAAAAAATGGAAAGGGTACCTACTAGATACTAGAAGGTGGAAGGACAGAATGGAGCATCAGTATCAACATCCAGCTCAGGAATCCAAATAAAACTCCAGGCTCATTCCATATCCAAAAATCTTACTGTTTATTGAATACACTGCATGGTACTGTCGAAGCAACACTAACTTTGAGGTTCCAACACCAATTCATAGACTTAAATAATAATATTCCCAGCCAAATCCACAATGTCTGCTTCAAATCCACACATGTTTTGGGTTCCTTGAAAAGGTTTCAGGCTCTCAAGGTCTTCAGCTGAATCATAGAAATTTTATTTTTCCATCTATCTCGCTTGAAAATAACACCTCCCCCTTTTAATCTAAAGGCAAATTGAAACACAGAGGCATGTAGCTGCCAAGGTTTCATTCTTGACAATGAGCTTCTAGGGTTGAAATACAAGTAATCCTTACTTACTGACCATTCAGCAAGCATTTAAAGTTATGACAGTGCTGAAAAAAGGAGACTTATGATCAGTCCTCAAAGTTCCAGCCATTGCACCACCCCCATAGTAACATAATTGTTATCTGGGTGCGTGGCAACGAGCTCACACTTATTTTATTTTTTTTAACCCATCTTTGTTGTTCTTGTAAATAACTCAAGGTGGTGAACATAACTAATACTCCTTCCTTTAAAATTAAAATAGTATCTTTCCTTCATAAATGCTTCTTGGATTTCTTGACTAAGATCATTCTTGGTAGGACTTTCAAAGGTTTTCCAATGAAATTATCTTCTGGATCTTGCCTGTTTAGCTTCAGAGAGGGAATTACAGCAAGTCACTACTAGAGAAATTCCCTGACATTATTTCCAACCAGTTCCTACTTGGTTTAATGGGGTAAAATATATTTGAAAAAGTGAATTGCAATGAAAGTGGAGATTTTGAACTTATTTAGTTACAAAGGTGGTCAAGAGATCTGGCTGACTATCCTCTTTTTCATTGCACCATCATCTTGCCAGCCATCTGTATCCACCCCGGCTTCCCAGGCTTCTGTTTAATCCCAAGAGAAGGGAAGTTGTTATGAAGCTTCCCCTCAGCTAGACTCCTTCTTTTGCCATTTTTCCTTCTTCTAGAAAGCTGCGGTGCCATCATCTAACCACATTATTTGCCAGAGTGTTTAGTGAAAGATTTGCAAAAAATATTGTGCCCAACTTTATATTTTCTGGACCACTGGATTCTCCCCATTCAGGCCATCAACAGGAGATGTGATGGCTCAGTGGTTAAAGATGCTGAGCTTGTCAGCTAGGAAGCTGATAGCCCAGGTTTGAGATTGAACACAATGTGACAGGATGAGCTCCTGTTACTTGCCCCAGCTTCTGCCCACCTAGCAGTTCAGAATCATGCAAATGCAAGTAGATGAATAGGTACCACTTCCGTGGGAAGATAACAGCATTCTATGCGCTTTGGTTATAGTCATGCTGGCCACATGACCGTGGCAATGTCTTTGGACAATGCTGGCTCTCTTGGCCAATAAACAAAGATGAGCAGCACCCCCACCCCCAGGAGCTGGAAACTACTGGACAGGGGAAACCTTTACCTTTAGGCCATCAACTAAGTTTAGATATGGAAGGCCTCATGTCTTGACTAAGCAGTCCTGCTTTCTGCCAGCCAGCATTGCACATTACAAGACTTTAATTGGCTGTTGCTGTATACCACTGAAACATGGATATTTGGTTAGTTAGATGTTTTCTTTTTTAATCCAACTGTGACAGAGTTCTAGTTCAAACAATAATGCGTTTTTGTTTTCCCAACAACCAGACTTTTTTTCCTTTGCCTTTTGCAGAGATTCATACTAACACAGTCCATGACTTGTCCTTGAGGCTTATGTGACGAGCTGTGAGATTGCTCTGTAAACCATCCTCTCATTAATTTCAGCCACAAATAACTGTGCATCATCCAGCCCAACAAGAGAGCAGCTGCCTCTCAGAGTGCCTAGTGTGAAGAACAGAGGCTAGCAAGATGCAAAAATAGGAAGATGAGCTCACAATATTTGCAATTTTTATTATGAACAAAGGACCATTTTCAGGTTCCAGGGAGATCATCTCAAAATAAATCCCCATGTTGAAAGCTAGATAAAATTCATGTTGCCACCCTCATATTACCCAATATTTATGGTATATCTTCTTTGGATCTTGGTTCCTGGATTGCTAGAATTGCCTTTCATTTAGGAGACACCAAGATATTGATGTCAATGATAATGGTTTGAATTCTGTCCAAGTTTTTTTTTTACTCAACTGACTATTTAAGGAAGCTAAAAACAGTTAAAATGCAAAATACAAAATATAATTTAAAAATAATTTAAAATAATACTCACATTAATTAAGATTATATCCAAGTCTTGGCATACTTTACTGCCCCACTGAAATCTTTATTATTCTCTTGATAATTGATTTCATAAATTGTTACAAGCAAATAGAAATGTTCCAGGGCTTGCTTGCTTGCCTGCTTCCTTCCTTCCTTCCTTCCTTCCTTCCTTCCTTCCTTCCTTCCTTCCTTCCTTCCTTCCTTCCTTCCTTCCTTTCTTCCTTCCTTCCTGTCTCAGAAGAAGAAGACTTCTGAGAATACCATGGACAACCTAGAAAACAAATCAGTGGATTGTCAAACAAATCAACTGAAAGTCTATGGATTCACAATCATCCAGATCATGGTTGCTCCAAAGGTGCTTTTCAAAAGGCAACTGGACTTTTCTTGGTTTTTATCTTTGGAAAAGCACCTTTAGCAAATCATCCAAAAGTTCAAAGGCGTCAATATTTTTCCTATTCTCCTTTTTTAATGTGAATATTATTAGTGTTAAAGTATTTGAAATATTAGTCTTTTATGTTACTACTCAGCGGCAACATTAATCTATATCTATATCATTTTTGTTCCGTATGTACTTTGGAAGAGTGTTTTTTTTTTTAAAGTAACTTACATATTTGAATTGCAACATGAATAGGAGGAAGTGTCTGGAATCCAGATCAGGGATCATTCAGTCCTGCAGTGTTTCCTTGCTGGTTTCATTTGTCCATTCTACCCCAGCCTCAAAACCCAGGGGTGTGAACACAAATCCCAATCGGAGCATTATTCACTTGTTGCAGCCTTTGGGTAATTTCCACAGCTGTTTTGACTGGGCTATATGTTCTGTTTTAGCAACAGTAACAACCTTTTTCAGTTGATTAAGAATCATTCTTGCAGATTCTAGGGGAGCTATTATTCTGCCAGTATCAGGAAATGGTATTTCAGAAAATAAATGTCTTTGCCTTGAGGCCACAGCAAAAATGAACTGTTCCTAGGAAGCAAGGAAACAGTTGGCTAAGTCTAAATGCTGACAGATTTATCATTCCTGTCAGTGATGATAATGGGGTGATTATTACCTGAAAAAGGCATCTGCAGATTCTGAAGGGCAGCAGCAATGTCATCTTGTCGAACTACAAATCCCATAATTGGAAACAGGTAGTCTGGGTACCATATATCCAAGTCAGTGCTTGCAAACCAGTCTTTGTGTACCACTCTTACTGTAGTTCCTACAGCACAATCAAAAGGCAAGAGTGTCTTTTCAGCCAACCCAGCCTGTTCTAATCTGGCAATTTCCAAATGTGTTTGACTACAATTCCCATAATAACCATTTGGGAGAAAGCTGAGCTAACCTGATAGCTGATTGAAACTGGAAACTAGGCAGTGATTTATTTCTCTTGTCCTTCTCAGCTTTGTTTTCCGATTTTATTCTCCTGGTGCCTGGAAGTCTTGTTCTATGGAGGTATGAAGGGGTTGGATATATCTCTCTACATATCTAAGTGACTGGATCTATTTTTCTCCCTTTCCTGTAGTAGATTGGGGAGGATGAATTTGAGCAGAATACAGAATAACAGAGTTGGAAGGACTTAGGAGGTCTTCAGCTCCTTGCTTGAGCAGGAATCGCAATCCTAGTGATGGTGAACTTTTTAGAGACCGAGTGCCCAAAAACTGGCCCCGCCTCCGCTCCATCCCCTGCCCGCCCCTGCTTTGCCCCCCATCCCCCACCCCGCCTACCCACAGGACCACTCACCACCTCCAGAGCCCACCGCAGATCACCCAGGCAACCCAGCAGCGCTATGGCAGCCACACCCTCTGCCTGTGCCCTGCAGCATCAACTGCATGATGGGGCATGAGGACAGAGTCTTGTCTATGCTGCCTGGCTGCCATGTTTTTGGTTGCGCTGCTCCGTGTGGGCCATGTTTGAGGGGAACTCTCCTTCAGGGGGGCTGCCGGAGAGGAGAGGTCACAGGGGGAGGCAAGGCTGGTGCAATGACACATATGCCCACAGAGAGGGCTCCGAGTGCCGCCTCTGGCACCCGTGCCATAGGTTCACCACCACTGCTCTATACAATTCAAGATAACATTAATGAGGAATAATAAACAATCATGATGTGTCTGCATAATTACTGGAATAATGCTGTGTTAGTAGTATGTGACTAACCTAATGCGCATTGCACTTGGATACAATGTATGTAGCAAACTCTCCATTGTATACCGTGAGAAACGAACTTAATGTATTACAATGTGTATTTCAATGTGTATTCCTTTGTTCCTGAGAAAAGGAAAGTATAAAACTGAAGTCTGAACCCGCCCTTGAGATTCAGAATTGCTTGTTGCTATTGCTTCTGAACCTGCGCAATAAATCTCTCTGCTAAAACCCTCTGGAATTCGTAAGAGTCCTTTTGTTTTCCACAAGAACATCAGACCCCCCCCCCCAAAAAAGAGCATTGATGCACATCTGGAACTTTTTTTTGGCTCCAATAAAAGGAAAAGGGAACAAAAGGAAAGAGATGATCTTACCTTTAATTTCTAGTCTTAAGTCATTTTATGCTGTGATGGTCCATTATCTGAAAAGTACTATGAAAAGGAAAGATTCAGAAAAACTAGATAATCCTTTCTATGTCTTCTTTCCTCTCTATGTGCCATCAAAAACAAAGGTGAGTTCAGATGTCCTGTATTTCTGGTCAACATTTTGTTTAGCCTACAAAATGAGGATAGAGATAACCAAATTATATAAATAATATAATCCCCTCCTTGTCAGAATGTCCATATAAGCCAAAAGAAAGACAAAATAGACTAAGATACTTGAAAACTAGACTAAGCACTCATCATTGAAGAAATAATCAGGCCTGGGAAGAGTCTGCCTTTATTTATTTTGGTCAGCAGAGACCTTGGCTGAGCATCAAACCAACTCTGAAGAATCTGTGGAGAAATCAGGATAGATCCGCGTTTTCCAGATTGCCAAAAGTGATGATCAAACACCAAAGGTGAATAAGTGCCAAAAACTAATCGCTCAGTAAAGGTTAGCTTTGACAAACCAACAAGTGATTAAGACAGTCCTGGCTTATTTTTGAATTAATCATCATAATTAAGATATGCTCTGCTAAAAATTGGGTGTGTTCTAAAATGCCAATCCAAAACATATTTTTTTTTTTTTTACTAAAAAGGATTAGTGAATGATGCCCCTTTCAAATCAAAATATAGACAGGTAGTCCTTGACTTACAACAGGTTTGTGACTGTTCAAAGTTACATCAACACTGAAAAATGTGAGTTATGACCGTTTTCACAGTTACAACTTTTGCAGCATCCCCATGATCACGTGATCAAAATTCAGATACTTGGCAACTGGTTCATCTTTATGACCGTTGCTGTGTCCCAAGGTCATGTGACCCCCTTTTGCAACCTTATGTCAAGCAAAGTCAATGGGGAAGCCAGATTCAGTTAGCAACCGGGTTACTGACTGATCAACTGCTGTGATTCACTTAACAACTATGGCAAGAAAAATCATAAAATGGGGCAAAACTCACTTAATAAATGTCTCACTTAACAGAAATGTTGGGCTCAGTTGTGGCCGTAAGTCAGGGACTACTTGTAGTATATACTCCCATGCA